CTGGAGAACTCTGGGAACCTTCTCCTGAGACAAGTCTGTGATGGCCACGGTCAGAGCTGTAAAATACAAGAATCGTAAGTAAACTGCTTTGTTTAGAGAGTTGCTGAAAAGATGCTTCTGATCATTATTTTCCGTATTGCTACTAGTACTTGATGCTAAATGTTTAATGTTGAATTTACCACAAAGTGGAAGGGAGAGAAAACATGTAAACATCTCCCTTTATTCTCCCCTTATGTACTTTTTGCCCCTTCTTTTTCTCTCCCTCTCTCCCTCATTTCATCTTCTTTGGTGATCTCTAGTGATCCAACAATTAGTTTATCAAATTGTGGACTATTTTCAACATCAATGCTGGAAAACCGATTTTACAACATTTCATCAACCAGGTGTCAGATTATGGAGCTAGAAATGGTAGATCAGCTTGAAAAATATATGTCACTTGCAGGGGTCCACACAACATGTACAATGTAGGGTTGGCAGTTTTTTTCTAGGGTCAGTTGTGAAACAGGAAACACAACATTTTTTTCTACTGGCCTAACGTCAGCCCTCCCTCCCTTCTCTCAGGCCGTACCTGGTGACCAGCAGAAGAGAAAGACCAGGATGTAGAGGGTGACTCTCGTCTTCAGCAGACCCAGGGCATCGCGTTGGGCATTGGTCCAAACTGGATGGGACAGAGAATGGACTGTATCAGTCTCAGAGCAAACGTTGTGGTAGGCATTTCGTCAGTCTCGTGAGACCATGAAGAAGATACTTCTTCCACACCATGTACTAATTCTTTGTTTTACGCTTTAAGCGTCTGAGTTCTGTGTATTAAGCTCTTCTTAACTTCCTGTCTCCAAAGCGTTCTGTTGTTTGTACCATCAATACATTATACAGAATGATACAGATAGACAAAAGTTAGACGTGGAACTCGTGGCCAACAAGTACAGTGTGAGCATCCCCACTAGATCGCTTGAAACCATACATTCAAAGGTTAGGCGTGACAAGTCGTTCAGTGCGATATACATGTAACCAGCTGCCTTTGTGCTGCGTGCCTGCGAAGCTGGTGTGTAACAATTTATCCAAGGTTGTACCAGCAATAACTGATACAGATACACGAGATTGAGTGTAGAATGAAAAGTGTGATTATGAAATTTTCAAGGCATTGAAAGATACTTTCTCAATGGATTATGACAAGAAATATACATCGTGTTGGTCAATCAATGCATTGGGGATGCAGAAGAATGTTGTATATATTGTACAGTCAATAGACCCATTCGACTTTCACGGATCGCATTAACTGCTTACGTCACAGGGGGGACATTTCGAAAGTTCCTTTCACGGATCGCATAAACTGCATACGTCACAAAACAAAATAACCTTAAATTGCTGTACGGAATGCCACCATACAAAGTTGGTGGCTGTTTTCCTGTCATGTCCGCATATATTACCAAGAAAATAGACACTTACCTACCTTTTAGTAAAAAAATGATCTAACAGGGGGGACACCGAGAGCGCAAGCTCCGTTCGACTTCAGCGTTCTAGAATGACGTTCTTTCGAAATGTCCCCCCTGTGACGTAGGCAAATTATGCGATCTGTGAAAGTCGAATGGGTCTATTGAGAGGTCATTTAGTTCAAGCAGTTTGGTCTTTCAATGCGAAGGACCGGTTCATTGTTTGGCATCTCTTCTCTGCTGTAGTTAGTTTCTTTGTAGTAGTATATTACCCGGAAGGACTGTTTTCGCTACATGGTGCCCACTATTAGAACAAAAACGTCCTACGTACTCCTAAGGAGTGATTAGTAGTCCCTGTCGCCTGTCATCTCTGGAATTGATAACAAGCATCTTTGAGGTTATTTTTGTTCTCCTCGTACGTTTACACAGGGAATCCAAACCGCTAAATCCCTATTTCCAAAGAGTCATTTTGAAGGAGCATATCTCTCCCTTGGGGTAGTAGGTGTAGCGTGGTTTCTTGGTAGTCTTGCGTTGGCTGTCTCTACTAAGATAAAGTGGGCTGGAAATCAGGATCGACTCACGACCAACCCCAGCCGGTCGCGAACGCTTGGAATG